CTGGAGAATTGGGTTTGATTCCCCACTACTCCACTTGAAGCCAGTCACAGTTCTCTCAGGGCTCTCTCAGCCCCACCTACCTCACAGAGTGTCTGTTGTGGGGAGAGGAAGGGAAGACGACTGTAAGCTGCTCTGAGACTCCTTTGGGTAGAAGAAGAAGAAGAGATTGGATTTATACCCCGCCTTTCACTACCTGAAGGAGTCTCAGAGCGGCTTACAGTCTCGTTTCCCTTCCCCTCCCCACAACAGGCACCCTGTGAGGTAGGTGGGGCTGAGAGAGCTCTTTCGAGGACTGCTCTTGAGAGAACAGCTCTGAGAGAACTTGTGACTGACCCAGGGTCACACCAGCAGCTGCATGTGGAGGAGTGGGGAATCAAACCCCGTTCTCCCAGATTAGAGTCCACATTCCTAACTGCTACACCAAAGAGCGGGGTATAAAAACCAACACTTCTTCTTTATCTCACCCGTTTCTGTTTTTGTCCAACAGCACCATCTCAGGTGCTCCCTGACCATTCCCTGGGCACGTTGTATCTTTGGGCAGCCATCCTCAGCCCTTTCCAACCCTGGGACTCACGCAAGCGCATGGTGCTTCGCTTTGCCTATTATGAGGAAGCTCCGGCGTTTCCCATCACTGTATATGTTGCCCTTTTGAACCGTTTCCCCAGATCCTACAGTAGGGTATGTTGGTTTGATTAGGGAGACCAGAGTTCAGATCTCCACCCGGCTGAAAAGGGTGACCTTGTTCCAGGCACTGTCACCCAGCCAGCGTAGTGTCGTGGTCCGAGTGTTGCACTAAGGTCTAGGAGACCCGCGGTTCAAATCCCCACTCTGCCATGGAAGCTTGGTGTGTGACCTTGGGCCAGTCATGCACTCCCTCACCAGCCTGACCTCCCTCACAAGGTTGTTGTGAGAGTAAAAGAGAGGCAAAGAGAATGGTGTGAGCTGCTTTGGGTCCCCAACGGTGAGCCAAGGCGGGGTATAAATGAGATAAGTAAACAGCCAGCCTTGCAGAGTGTTTGGAATAAGGGGGGGGGGGGGCAAGGAAAGATTTGCAGGTGGGGCTGCCTGAACCACATTGTGTGTTCTCGGCATGGAGCTTTGAGCGCTTCTGCATTCAGCCTGCTTTATGGAGGTCCATCTGGGTCCCCTGGCCTGATGAGTCCCCTCCTTCCAGCCTCTGTCCGTCCCCTCCCATAGAACGGACCACTTGTGCTCAAAGAGGCCCTGAGTTCTGAGAGCTGTTGCGATACTGGGGTGGGGTGGAGGAGGGAAGGAGGTGGGGAGGGATTTGTGTACGGGTGGGGAGTTCCCAAGTCATTCCCCCCCCCGCGTGCTTCCTCATTGGCCCTGGTTTGTATTTATCAATTATTAAAGTGGATGCTCTCTTGCTGGGGGTTTTCCCATCTGCTTTATTTTATATTCTTTCCTTGCATTGTTTTTAATTTTGTGTGTAAGCTGCCTTGGAGGCCCCCGGGGTACATATCTCTTTTAAAGAACCGTGAACATGCCACGGATCTCTCTAATTGGTCTGTCTTGGCTTCTTTTTATTTTTGATTTCTTGCTGTCCCTCTAAATCCACCCCCCTTTTCTACCCCTCTTTTGTCTTTCTCCAGATGGGAGTCTGAGTGAGGAGACCCCCGGGCAAATGGCCCCTCCGCCCCTCAGCCACCAATATGCCAAGTCCCTGCCCGTCTCGGTGCCAATCTGGGGGTTTAAGGAGCAGCGGCAAGAGATGCGCTCCTCTGATGAGGAGAACAGCAAGGTGGGTTGGAGCGGAAGATGTGGATTTGGCGGGCAGCCCCCGGGGAAGGGGAAGGCATGGGAAGGGGAAGGCATCTCCAGAACTCTAGACCTTCCTTTGGGCAGGCAGGTGGCGATATTGTCTCCTCACAAACATCTTAAGGAAATAAGGTCTCATGCACATGACATGGCTTGCATCTTGTGCGTGGAGAAATGGGTAGTGGGTGTGTAATTCAGCAGTCAAAGACCCCTGCTTTGGAAAGTTTCTAGTCCTCATGAGAGAAGCTTGAGGGCGTGTGGACAGTGCTGGGGGAAAGAAAGGAGTGCGGGTTGAGCAAAATGTTTTGTTTTAAGTGCTAAGGACTAAAGATCCCTGCGTAGCGCTCTCGCCCTTTCCATGGCTTGCAGAATAAATTCGGGAAAACAGTTTTAATATGTGCATTTCAAACAAGATCCAGAGCAATACTTTCTTGCTGTGGAATTTTGACTCGGTGCGCAGTAAAAAATGCTCAGTTCCTCATTCATCGATCTTCCAGACAGAATGCCTCCATGATTTAGAAAATACCAAAATTTTCGTCTTATCAAAATTAATAAATAAGGAGTTCTGGTTACAGAATGAAATAAATGCTGATAGGGAGTGCTTTAATCCCACCTTGGTAAAGGAAAGAACTGCTGCATCATCCGCATATAAATGAGATAGGAACCGTGGCTGAGTTGAATTTGGGAGCGTGTCCGCCAATTTTGGTCGAATAGGAGGGGAGATCTGAAAGGCTTTTCCTCCAAGCATTCTTTTTCAAAAAAAATTTCAAAACTCCAGTAGCATATTTTCTTTTTAGAATGACTGGAATGCTTTTTAATCCAAGGTTTTTCATGCTCAAAAAATGTGTAGCATGAAAAAGCATGAAGACTTTTCCCCATTTCATTCATTGGCTGTTTCTTAAAAGCAGAGATATGGAAAAGTCAGAGAAACTAGAGAACACTGAAAGAGGCTCACATGAAATATCTTTTTGATCTTAAAAGCAGTTCACTCAGTCCAAATGTATGGCATGAAAAAGTCGGAGGACTCCCTTAACTTTTTGGAATGGAAACATTTTGATATTTGGGGAGCACGGGGGGGAAAAAACCTACGATTCCCCCCCCCCCTTTTGGAATGGGTGAAATGAAGAACAGGGTTTTACTCAATGTAGCATGATTTTTTTTACATAAGACAATCGACAGCATTAAGTAATGAACCTTCCTTCTTATGCTGTAGAAATATATAACATTCTCAAGATTTTTTAAATTTAAATGGAACAGTTAAAGTGTTATAATGTGCTAAAAGGACAATGCATTATTAAGCAGTGTTTTTAGCATTATAAATTTTAACTGAATATCAAAATCTGTTGGTAATCCTACCTATTGTAACTGTCTGAGAGTTTATGTTCAAATAATACGGGCCAACCGAATTAACAATATTATTTTTTTAACTCAAAATATAAACAAAAGCAATGGATTCCTAGCAGTAAAAGCAGTTGATTTACTGGGGAACCCACAGAACGTCCAGTAAATGTATTTAATCATATGCAAGACTAGGTTTTTTCCAAGGGATACCATAAAAGGTGGAGTGCCTTACATTTCCATACATACCAGTTGCTTGTGGACCGGGTAAGAGTCCTGGACGGGCCGGTTTCGGCCCCCGAGGCTTATATTTGACACCCCTGGTCTAAAGAGAGTGCACTTTCCGTAAACCTTCTGCAGTCATATGACACTTGGGCAGACTGACCCTACTCAGCCTTCTTCAGCTGGAGACTAGCCCTGCTCATGACCCGTGGGAGCGAGGAAAGGGGGGAGCCAGTGGGGTGTCCTTAAAGGTTGTTGACGCCCTTCTTTCTCTTCCTCTCGTCAGCATTCGTCCCCCGATCTCGAGAAGATCGCTGCCAGCATGCGGGCACTGGTGCTGCGGGTGTCGGATGGCACGGAGATGTTCGGAGACCTGCCTCGGCCGCGGCTCAACACGAGTGACTTCCAGAAGCTACAGCGGAAGTACTAGCAGATCTGGGCAGTCTCCTTCCTTCCCCTCCGCCCCGCCTCCCCCCCACCGTACCCTCCCCCCTCCCCTCGGTGGACAGGGTTGGATGCTCCCCATACAGCCCCTCCTCTGAGATCTTACAAGCTTTAAAGTGATAACTTCAATTGCACACTACAGTTGGGACGGGGGACGGAGAACTTCTCGCTCCCTCCTCCCCTCCCTGAGCAAATAGAAACCTGCCCCGTTTCTCTTCCTTGGGAATCCCAGAGGTGCAGCGCCTCTCCAGTGGGGTTCCCTTCCCGTTCAAGAGAAGGCAACACTACAGACGTTTTGAAACGACACTACCAGCTCTGCCCCGTCCCCGTCCAGCCCTGGCTGCTGAAGTGTCACTTAGACGTTTCTCTCCTCCCTTCCCCATAAGAAGTGTCTTAAGATCCTTTGCACATAAGCTGGGTTTGTCTATAGAGTTTTTAGTTTTGAGCCAAGCGTCTCTCGTTGGGGAGAGAAGGGGGGGGAGTCTGGGGAGGGGTTCCTTGTTAACCCAGTTTGCCCTCCCCACGCGTTCAGTCTCTCCCGGTTTCCGGAAGTGGTATTTCAGGGTCGTTTTTCTATTGGGGAGGGCGGTGCAAATCTGGGGGGATCGCCCCAGGCAGACGGGATGTAACGGGGGCTCCAGGAGTCACGTACAGCCCTCTGTCGTCTTTCCCTCCCCTCTCCTTTCCCCAGCGTACTTTTGTATCAGATTCTCGGGGGCCCGCGGAGGCCCTGGCCCCCTATATTTTTGTCCAAAGATGAATGGTGAATTGGAAGGGGGAGGATGTCTTTGTCTCCTTCCCACCAGCCTACCAGCCAATAAAGAAAATACTGACTTTTACCAACCTGGCTTCCCTGTTGTCTGATTGGCGGGAAAAGAAGCAGGGAAGACGTTTAAGCAGGGAGGGGGTTGTACAGCATATTTCTCGAAGCGGATTTTAAAAGCGTGGTTCATTTCTGGGAGCAGCACTGAAAACCGTGGCTTGGCGGGGGTGGCTGAACGGAGCCTGCGTTTTAAACACTGTTCCTGGCAATAAAACTGCAGAAGAAAATCACTTCCCTGTGCTCATCTCCCGCTTCGTCTCAGAAAATTGGGAGTGTGGGTGAAACAGGAGGGGGTGAAAATTTAACTCCCACATTCCAGCTTTCCTATGTCAGGTGTGAAGGACCTTTGGGGAGAAGAGAGGCTACAATGAGAAAAACCAAGAAGAGCTGGAGCAAGGTTTGTATTGTTTAATTGGTACTCAGTATAGTTCTGTTATATACAAAAGCAACAGAATTGGGGGGGAGGCTATATGATACAAAACAGAAAGAACACAGAGGCTGAGACAAAAGGAAGTGGAGCCCCAGTTGAGTGGGGAAGAGAGGGTCGGGCAGCCAAAGAGAAAGAAGGGTTTCTCCTCCCCACTCCAGGTTAAAATATGTTTGAATAAATGATGAGGATTTGGCCTACGGCTTGGCCAAAAAAGGTGGAGAGGAAGGAAGGAAGGGGCTCCACAGGATCCAGAAATGCCCTTGTCTTCTCAACTGCATGCCCCTTTCGAGGATCCATGGACAGAGGGTGTCCTCAAACCAACTCAGTCATAATACTTCTCTGCCCGCCGGACCTGGCAGTACATCAGCATGGAGAACACGATGCCCAAGACCTGGGGAGAAGAGAGCAGGTGGGGTCAGAAAAGGCGATGACCCAGTCCTTCTCAGAAGGCTATCCTGTCACCCCTGCCCGGACAGGAAATCAACCGTCCCGACCCTGGATAATGGGAGCAGTCCTGGCAGGCAAGGTAGATGGACTCCTCGGGTGTGCAGGAAAATGAGACTGACCCTGAAGGAAGACTGGACAATGCTCCAGAAGAGACAGGATATTGAAAGCCCCTGAGAGTCTGTTAAAGGAGAAAAAAGGAACCGGCTCGTCCAAGCCCTTGACAGTTTAGAGCATCCTGGAAAAAGCTTGTTCCATCATTCTAAAAATGCAGAGTAGAGTAGTAGGGCCCACCCTAATTCTGTAGCAAAGACAGAGATCAACCAGTTTTGCAGTATGTCATGCCGGCCACATGACCACGGAAACATCTTCGGACAGCGCTGGCTCTTCGGATTGGAAACGGAGATGAGCACCGCAGCCCTAGAGTCAGACTCGACTGGCTTTCGAGCAAGGGAACCTTTACCTTTACCTTTATACACCCACCCACACACATTCTCCTCCCCCACTTCCCCCATCTACTACCAGATTAGTAAATCTGGGTTACTGGGGCAGACCAGCTATGATCAGATAGACCTCACAGAGCAGGTGTCCCCAGCCTTTTTGAGCCTGTGGGCACCTTTGGAACTCTGACACCGTGTGGTGGCCATAGTCAATGCTCCCTCTAAGCTGTGGAGTCTCGTGAGCAAAAATTCTGCTTTGTGAGCGACTGGCATTCAAGTGGTGAGCGAGCGGTTTGGCTACCGCATAAGTTAATTTGCTCTGGAAGCAGTGTTCCCTCTAAGCTGAGTTATTGTGAGCTAGCTCACCGTTTTTTAGCCTCCGACTCACACATTTTTGTCTCAGCTCAGGGAGGACGGCTCCAGAGCAAACTGATTTATGCAGGAGCCAAATCTTTTGCTCACAACTTTTTAACGCCTGTAGCTCACAAAGTAGATTTTTTTGCTCACAAAGACTCCACAGCTTAGAGGGAACATTGCTCTGGAGCCATCCTTCCTCAGCTGAGATAAAAATGTCTGAGCTGGGGGCCAAAAAGCCATGAGCTAGCTCACACTAACTCAGCTGAGAGGGAACACTGGCCACAAGATGTCTGCCGCAGCTTCCCATCAACCACACAGTGGAGATCCTTGTGCTGGGGTGGCAGCAGCTGCCGACAGAGTGACATTTTTTAAAAAATGTGCAAAGCCAATCAAATCTCTAATAGCGAACCAGAAGCCCTGCAGGGCAAAAAACCCCACCCGGCCCCACCTACTTCCTAAAAACACTTGGCAGGCACCAGAAAAGGCGTCAGCGGGTGTCCTGGTGCACACAGGCACTGGATTGGGGACCCCTGCCATAGACCAACTGACGTCTGGGGGTGGGACACCACAGTGGCGCCACTATACCATCTGACCTGGGTGCTGGACATTTAGACCTTGGGTTCTGTAGGTGGCGGGCATTGCACGTATGCCACCATTCTCTGATCGCGTCATGCAATGCAGAACTCTATTCTGGGCACAGAATTCAGCATCTTGAGACTTGCAGCTTCCGTTTCCTAAAGCAAATTGTAAAAGCCGGTGGCTGGTCCTTAAGGATGCAAATGGAGGCTGACGCCACTATACCATCTGACCTGGGCGCTGGACATTATTCAGGGGTCTGTTTCAGACCTTGGGTTCTGTAGGCATTGCACGTATGCCACCGTTCTCTGATCGCGTCAGGCAATCCAGAACTCTATTCCGGGCACAGAATTCAGCATCTTGAGACTGGCAGCTTCCGTTTCCTAAAGCAAATTGTAAAAGCCGGTGGCTGGTCCTTAAGGATGCAAATGGAGGCTGAAGAGCAGCGCTGGGCAAAATTGTGGAAATCTGCTGAGCAGGAGGCCCAGGGGGCAAGGGGCAAGGTGCGAGTGCCCACCAGTCTGACGCCATGTTCATACTTGCAGAGTGCCTTTCTGTCTTAACAACTAACTGATCCTACAGACCTTTGTCTCTCAACGACTAGAAACACAGCAAATTATCCAAAAACGAGCTGGCCTGCCGCCTGCGCAAAACTGTGCTGAGATTGCACAAAGCGATTCAGAACGCCGAGGCAGCTTTTCTCCCTGTGCGCAGCCCCGTCTAGAGCGGGATTCCATTTCCCTGTCTTCCTCCGGGAAAGCTGCATTCCCGGCTCCCACAACTGCAGTGGCCGGCGGATGGGCTGCGACGGGGATTTGCTTTGGGCCACTCGGCCGATCGGAGCCCCTCCCCTTCCTCTCACCTGGACCACAATGATGCAGGCGGCAAAGATGCCCATCGCAGAGATGTTCTGCCCCAGCCAGTTCTTCACCTTCCCATAACAGGGCTGCAGAGAGTGGAAACACACAAGGGCCTTAGAAAAGTCTTCCGGCATCGGACCGAAGGGCCGTCTAGTTCGGTGTCCTGTTTCCTCGCCTCCATTTTACCCTCAACAACAACCCTGTGAGGTAGGTTAGGCTGAGGGTGTTTGACCGGCCCGAGGTCACCCAGCGTGCTCCCATGGGAGAGTGGAGATATGACCCTGGGTCTCCCGGACCCCTAGGCCACAGTGCTTCCAGTTGGCTATAATGGCCAATGGGCACTGATAGGACTATCCTCCTTTGCATTTGTCTAACTCTCCCCTAAAAGAATCTAAGCCAAAAGCCATCACAATATCTCATGGCAGCAAGTTTGACAGCCAGTTTGGTGTAGTGGTTAGGAGCATGGACTCTAATCTGGGAGAACCGGGTTTGATTCCCCACTCCTCCACGTGCAGCTGCTGGTCAGAGCTGTTCTCTCAAGAGCAGTCCTCGGAAGA